TGCAATCCAAAACTTCTTTTTCTCTCAGTGGGGGATTTTTGAGAGTCCTGTACACCATGCTATAAATCAATTTGTTTCACCTGCCCCTCCGTTAACTCCTCTGAGGAATTTCAAACCAACAACCTAAGTCCATCTTACCCACTTGTACCTGACATACTACTTTTATTACCTAAATGTTAATGCTTCCTATTATTCCCTAAATGTTAATGCGTCCTATTACTCCCCTTCCATTCGCCTGATTCTAAGCTAAGGGCTCTGCATGCACTATTGCCAGCATTTCCCATTCTACCTCTATTGCAGATTTTCTAAGGAGATATTTAAGTAGAGGAATTTTAAGTTGTTTCAAATTTTTGAAAGGATTTTTTTATTATTAAAATGCCTTAAGCATTTCATTTCACCCCTAAAATCATGCAAGACTCTCATGAATAACCATTGGTCCCTATCAGTTCAAGGGAAAATACTATTGACATGTTGCTCAAATGTGAAGTGATTCATGTTCACTTTTCTAGAGACAACACTTATGGCTCCCCATCTTGAAAGCATATTTTCATAACAATTTGCTTCTGACCAAAGTTCTACTTCAGTTCTTTGGGACAATTTTTCCATTAAAATGAAAATAGATAGCAAGAATCTATAGAAGATGATTCACCTTTCAAAGTGTTTTAGCGGCATCGCCTCAAGCTCCTTTTAAATAGCCTACATTTTACAGAAAATGAAAGACAGACATTAATGCTAAAGAACTAATCATATTACCTGTGATAACAAAGCGATAACCAGAATATTCATTTAAAAGCAAACAAAAAAAGAAAGCAAACACGACTGAACTGTTTTCCTTCTTCTGAAAATAAAAAGGTCATAGCTAGGGCATTTTATTTCTTATTTATTCTTAACAGAAAGAGATTCCTATCCCCTCACCACAAACACAATAGAGTCTGTAATTTTTTTCAGCATTGCACCCATCACTCACCCGTAACGGCATCATAAAACTCTTCTTCACTGTTCATCCTTCAGCACAAAATCTCTGTACAGCCAATCCAGCTTCCTCTAATGCATCGTTGAGCTTGATTTAAAAATTAAGTATTCTTGTGTCTTGAGATCTTTGTTTGCAAATGCCAAGCTGTTTCAAATGATCTATTTGACAAGACAGGGAAAAAAGAATTAGCACCTTCCATACTTCTTACACACACACACGCTTTACATTAATTATCCCATTTCTTCCCACAGCAAAAGAAAGCTGCACTCTTGGATTGATGCATTCACGGTAAATAGTCTTTAAACCAAAGTAATCCCGAAGTTGACACTACCTCCCACACAAAGTGAAAAAAAAAAATTAATGTATTAGGTCACAGTTGTTTTCTGTGTGTAAATAAATACATCATATATGTTATTGTTAAATATAATTTGCATGCCATAAGTTAAACTCCATGCAAGCAATATAGGCATGGAAAGCAGGGTGGACTCATCCTACACCATCCCACCAGTATATACTGAAATCTGGTCAGACCATTACAGAATTTTTGTCAGGCTACCACTATGAACTCTTGAAGAAACAGCTGGAGACAGAGTGTAAAAAATAAAACGTGTAAGAAATAAAATACTTTTTCTCAGTAAAGCCACACACACTGCAAATAAGTTAGATTTACAAAGCATTCCAGCTCTGCTGTGTGCACAGGCTAAATTAGATTTATTCCAGATGGTTGGCAATGGTGTAATCTAAGCATGTTTACTTCACCCAGTTTTAGTCCATGGAGAAGAATCGGAAAATTTTGTTTCCACTCTTAAAAATGTTCACAAGGTACAGATGAGCAGCCAAGCACAGTGTTAATGACAGCAGAGCATGCTATCATTATCACCTCCAAGACAACCTAAATCTGTCAGTCTTGATTTTTATGATCCTTGACAATCCCACTGCTTTTGTGGCAGTAGAGTTTTTCCAGAGTAATTATAACTTGCACATTTCCTTTCCAATTAGCAGGAACAAAGACAGAAGTGTACACTATTCCTAGCATCAGCTTGCCACACTTGAAGCCAATTCCTTCTTTTCTTCTCTGTAAGAAAAATTACATGATTCCCCTTCTACTTCAAGTCTTTTTACCTCACTATCCAGAAATAAAACCATTTTAATACCTCATACACATGCAGTCCCTCCAATTACTCACACAGAAAAAGAGCTAAAATAGCTTACCAATTTCACAGCTCATCTTTGTTAATACTTCAAGGCAAACATTACCTTCATTGTGTCTGTCAGGGCTAGGAATTTCAGTTTGCCACTTGCTCTCTCAGGACTATTCCCTATTTTGTCTGCCAGATTTTGTATCTGTCCTTGCATCATGGTTGCTATTTGAGCTTCTACAAAATCTTCAGTAATTTCTTATTTACAAGGCCACTAAGCATAAAACTATATGCAGTTGCTTCTCTCCAGTGTTACTACACTGTTGTTGCAATTGCTCAGCTGTTTCCTTCTCTTTTTCTGTGCTTTTCTGCAATGACAGACCTTTAAACCTTCAACTTCCTTGCTTAAATCGGAAACTTGTTGCCGACAGATACTCAAAGTATCACATTCTCCTAGGGAAGGTCGCAACTGCTCAAAATACTAACAAGGCAGAAGCACGTACACCTGAAGGCTTTCAGTGAATGATTATCTGCAGATGTTCTGCTTGCAGAAGGCCAAGGAGTAGCAGCTTCGCTTCTAAAAGATACAAGTCGCTCAGCCTACCAGCATTCATGCTGCTATAGAACCAAAGACAGAAACCCTCCTAACCAGTAACTGGCTCAAAGGTAGCAGCTAACTCAGATTCCTGGATCAGCTAACCAGGATGTTAAACAGCATCTCAACAGCAGAATGAATTATGGCATTTTAAGTGCCTATTTACATTAATAAACTTCATAACCATAATTCACTACCAAGAAATTCAATACTGAAATCCGCACTGTGAGTACAAATCAATGTGCCCATTCCCGCGTTATCGAGCCCAGCGGAAGCCAGTCCTTGCCTTGTAGGAACGCTCGCTCGCACCGAGGCCGCAGCTGGATAAGCAGAGCGCGCAGCGCACTCAGGACCAGTGCTACAGGTGCGACCCTTATTCTGTTCACATGCCAAAGCGCCCTTCTTCAGGTGGCCTATCCAAACACAGTCATGTTCCTATCAGCTGGCAAGCTTTACAGATCTCTGATAACAAGCACTGCAGCACATTCTAGTTTCCCAAAGAAGGCACTTGGGAATAAGAACTGAGGCTTAGCAATGATAATACACATTCTTTAAAAGCCTTAAGTAAACAAGGTCATATAAATGAATGCAAATTTCTCTTCTCCCTCCTCATGATAATCATTGCATTGCAACAGGACTTGGAAATGTATGATGAATAATACAGTTCCTCTTTGCACTACAGAGATACTGAGGCTTTCCCATAAAAACATTTAGCAAATACAATTGGAGTGAAAGGCTTTAGATAACCAAGAGTTAGGCTATTGAAGATATCTCTTCACGATATGGACCTCACGCTACACTTTAAGCTCCTGGCTACTTGAAAGTGAGAGTTCAGTCATATCTCTGTAAGTTATAAACAAGATTTGTAGCTATTACCTAAATGAAGAACAAAATATTCATGGCAGTCACTTTAAACAATACCCACAATATTCTCTTAGGGTACTAGAGTAATTTAAAAAATGATAAAGTAATATACTTTTCATCAGTCACGCTACATAATGCTGGGAAAACTAGTCAGAATACCTGACTTGTAATCAGCTTTCTCAAAGGAACTGGGAATAGTTTAAACGCACAATTCTTTCAGATTCAATTCTTTATTTAGCAGAAATAGATGCAAATTCACATTATCAGAACAAACACTGATTACAGTATTTGGCTTTCCTGAGTAAAAAGGCCACAATAAAAGTATTTTTATTAACTGCACCAACAAAGAGTTACCTCCAAGTAAGCTGAAAAGTCTGAAGACAAAAACACTGTTTCATATTCAACATTTGTAATCTGCCTCTCCCTACTTTCCATCGTGTACCAAGTCAACTTCACTTACACGCTAACAACTGTAGTTAATGTCTTTCTTAATCAGAATTATCACAGACATGTCAAAGGAAGGGATGCAATATTCCTGCATGAGAAAGCTTCCAGCCCAGGATCAATTTAACCTATTTTTTCACATGCAATAATCTCTCTGTGCTTTATCTTCACTGTGACGACACAGGGGCACTACGAAGCATGCAGCTGCATTAAACACTGCAGAAACAGGAGTAAACATCTGCACTGAGTTCACAACACAGCTTGCAACACACTCTGCAGAGGAGGAACTTACTAAGGCTGACACACGGCCTGTCAGAAAAACAGCTGTCCCGGATGACAAGAAATGACTGAGCAACAGCCGTTCGAAGCATGCACGGCACAGCAATGTCCCCACGGCACCGCCGGGACTAGAACAGATCCCAGAGCCAGTCGCTCGGAGGAAAACAGGCCTCCCTCAAGGACCTGCTTTACAGCCTTCATGCAGCACACTAGCAGCAGTCTAGGGCTAACCAGAAAATTAAAGTATTCCCATCACTTTCACTACCACAACAGCTAAGCTCCCACAATGAAGGTTTTACTATACCTGTCAGTCAACTGCTTATGAACAATGTCAAAGTGTCCTGTCAAGTCCTGCCCTGATTTGGCAGTCTGACAGCAGCACGGCCCAGGGGACCTGGCTCCGGGTACCGCGCTTCGCTCTCCAAACCTTCCCAGCCCAGGGCAGAGGGTGCTGGGCAAGGCCGCTGCGCCCCCGAGCAGCACGTGCAGAGAAGAGGCTTCTCTGAAACCAAACGTGTGAGATCCACTGCCTGATGAGACAGGACGGGCTCCTCTCCGCTTCCTACACTCTGCACATGAGGCTGGGGACACTAGCCAGTCTTAGCGTATTAACACTACTTGCTTACAGCTCTGCTGCATACTAGAGGTTGATGTTTTCTATGCCATTCATCTACCTGGACTAGTTATCTCTGAAGTTTGTTACAACATATACTCAAATTCTACTCCTCGACAGAATGCTAAGATCCTGACCTTCCTGTGATTTAAACACTATAACTTTCTATCAGATCTCACGTGATTGATATATTGCATAATTCTTGCCAGAGGGGACAAGTGAAGGGAGGAGTCGCATGACTTCTGAAATTCTGAAAGTTCAGAATTTCACTTTAATAGGTAAAGAAAACACAAGCTCAATATATTAGAGATAGTTTGAATAGAACTTAAAATTAGCTTGATGCAAAGGAAGATTTATTCCATCTCTTAATCCATATATGGTCTCTTTAATCCATCTAACAAAGGATTTAATCCATGTGTTTATAAAGAACAACATTTCCATTAGTTGGCTGTCTTCATTCTAAGCTAGGTCCAGGACACAACTTCTTTCCAGAGTAGGAAACTTCAAAAGAGCCTGCAGACCAGTAAATACGAACAGCCTTCATGCCAGCACTAAAAATGTAAGAACTAAAAAATAATAGTCCCACAGCATGACTAGGGAATAAGAGCCAATCCCGTCTTTTCTTGATCTGTCAGCTCAAATAAAACATAGCAGTAATACTTCAAGGGACAGAAATAAATAGCTTCAACTGGAAGATAAATATTCATGTGTTTTTGCTTCATATACATCTCCTCAAAGAATCCAACTGCAATGTTTCATCTCTGAATGAAAGCTTCAGCAACGATGAATCTTAATTGACTTATGAAATGAGGCTACCAACAACACTAGATCTAAAACACCTATAAAAAATGCCAAGAAACCATTTTATTTGGCAACTTTGATACCTGCTGTAATTATTGTGTACTTAAAATCCCTTCAACTAGAGAAGGGCTACACAAACGGCAGCATCCAGAACAGGATTTTATTTACCCAGTTAGATGTGTTTCTTACTCCAAAGTCTTTGTGTATTAACATCTGCTGCCAAGATGTCTTGGCAAGATTAAACTCACCCAGCATCCACATTAAGACAAGTGTAACTTCCTTCTCTAAGCCTGTTAAACAGAGCAGAGAAAGGGCGAGTGAGGAGGATCAGCTGAAAACTTGGCCCACCATCACCTTTCAATTTCTTTGAAGGCTGCAGCTCTCCCAATTAAGAAGCTTCACATTGCTGAGAGTTACAATTAAATGCACCAGGGCCAGTTCCAAGCAGCCCACAAGCTAAGTGCACTGACAGCTTAGTTGAACTTATTTTAAAAAAAACTTTAAACAATGGTGGCAGCAAACTGCACATCTGAAAGTTTGATTTTGAACACGGTTGCCAAATAGATTAATGGCAGATGGTACCACGTTCTGTTTTCTCAAGCCTACAGATTTTTGGTGGTACTTTGTAAGATAAGAGCCAACTGAGATGTCAGGATTCCGGTTTGTTACAGAGTTAAGGCTGCAAAATTTATTTCTACATCAGAACAAACTAAAGCAGTCCCACGTCCTGCATGTGCCCCTTTGCAAGGCTCCTTTATACAAGTCTCGTGTTCAGAAAATCATGCTTCTGATTGATGAAACTGGACTGAAAATACTCTTAGCAGTATAGTGATTAACCACATTAAAAAAAGATAGCTATTCCTAGTTTCAGACACAAACTCTATTCTATGGACAAGGATGCTGACTTGCAAAACAGTTAACAAGCCTAACGAAAAAAGTGAGGATAGTATCAAATTAGTATTTTCTGGTCCAAAACACTTAATTGAAATTCCCAAAGAATTCTGTAATTGTTCTCCAACGTTTAACACTGCATCAATACTTGAGACATTTCGCCCCCAAGTGTACCTTGTGTGACCCTTGAACAATTATGGAAATAACCATCCTGCAAAAGCACCACACAGACCGTAAGAGCCGACTAACTCAGCGCAAAGTACTAGGCAACTCTATTTTTATGTCCACCAGTTCCTCACACGCTCCAATCCTGCAGCACTGGCTCATGCAAATAGCTTGTAGAACTGTTCCTTTGAAGCTAGCAGACTATTAGGAGTTTTAAGATTAGACCTAGATTTTCTGCCTCGGGAAGTACATCAAAGTCCCTTATCTACCTAAGTGGCAGATAAAGAATGACCAACTTCTTCATAGCTCTTATTTCCCCTTTCATTCACCCAGATGAAGATACTTCCATGTCAAGCACACCATTCATTTATTCAGACTTGGCAAAATAGATATTCAGGACTCCATGTTTAAAACATTCTTGTGGGTCTGATTTTGTGCATTTTGGGAAAAAAAAAAGCATGGGAGAAGCAAAGATGTTAGTTATTTTAAGTGAACAGATTAGACAGCATTTTAAAACACGATACCAGTGTCAAGGACAGTCATTTCTGTTCAAAGATTATCTTCATGACTCAGACGGCAAAATCAATGTTGAGTGAAGGACAGGGAAAAAATGCCAATTTGTAAACTGAAATTCTAGTTATCGAGCAGTATGATGCAACATTACATTGTTCAAGAACAAGCTTCTTCAAATACCAAAGCCAATTAATTATCTGCTTAAAGATTCAGAGTACTTGCATGTGAAGCTTGCTTTCAAGCAAAAATCATCTGACTGGCAGTAAAAAGAATTTTTTAAAAATACAGCGTTATCAAAGCAAAGAAGCTTTGCTGATTGGTGTGCTTTCCTACCAGCATTAAAATAACAGAACACTAAGCTTTCCACCTCTGTCCCAGGTCAGCATGTGTGAAGTTCACACAGGGGAATTCCTAAGACTGAAAGAAATAACAGTTTTAATTATAAGTCCTGTCAGCTGCAGCAAGAATCTATCACTGAAAGCAGTAACTGTTTTAAAAGAAAAAATGACTTAAAGCAGCATCAAATGGTGAAAACTGCCCCCCGTGCTCACAGCTGCCAAAATAAATGCATTTATATAGGTGTCCCAAGCATTGCTAATTACTTGCACCAGCCTCAATTTTCTTGGTTTTCAGCATCACATCAACCAAAATCTCCACTTCCAACTATCTTCAACTACTTCCAGGCAAAGAATCTGTTATCTAACCATCAATCATCTTCAGCTTTTCAGGTTTATTGGCATTATGAACATTATATTAGCATGGCGGGAGAGGCAGGTTTTGGAAAAAGCTGCACATTTTTTCCTGGACAGTAGATGTCTCCATGTTTTCTGCTCAGCACTCCTTGAAGCTCTAACTTCATTAGGAAGGCAAGCAACATTAAAATCAATCCTGATCTTGTCCTAGGAACCCCTCAACTCTCTGTCACATGCTCAAAAGAAAGTAGCTCAGTCCCTTCAGAACTACCACGTGCTTTATATTCTCAACACTTTCATCTAACCAACAACTGCTGTAAACTCCCGATTTAGTTTTACTTTGGGGACCCAAAGAGGCAGCAATTAAAGTTTCCATTAGACTACTATAAAGTCATTTGCATTACAATTATTTTAAGAAAAAGCTGCTTATGCTAAGTGAAAACATACCTAAGGAAAAAAAAATAAATAGCACTTGGAATTTCTTGTGCTTCCATGCTAGTTTAGCCAGTTCTCCTGCTTCCATCCCACAGTACAGTGATTTATAAGTTGCCCAAGTCATCACTTCCAGAAATTGCCCTCAGGTTGTAGAAGTCCCACAACACGCTAGTATAAAGTCTGTAAGAGGACAAACTTTTGGTAGCCTCCACAAACCAACAAGAACGTGGAGTTATTGAACCATTGGCGGAAAAGTTGAACTTAAAAACATGAGTCAGTTTTGTTTTTTCTTACCTGCATGGATAAGCTTGAACACTTTCGGAACAGCAATACATTAATGCTAATCTACGCTGCAAACCAGCTCCTCTTTTGCAGTTCTGCTTTTGAAAGCTTAAATGAAGGCTATTTCACTTGAGAAAACTGGGAGCGAATGAAAGGAATAGGTGCAGGGAATGTATTTCTGTGGGCATTTTGAGGGAAACGCAAGTCTATGGCACAAGCCTATGGCAGACACAGCAACCAGAAGGCACTTCTGGGAACCTACCTCCAATTCCCGCCTGCAAGCGCCACAGAGCAACAAACCCTTTCCTAGGGGACCCCTGAGTCAAAACACACAGCACAAACAAGGCTAATATCAATTTAAGTCAACGGCAACATAACTTACACCTTTGTTACCATGCAGAAGTTCTGGTGGCATGTTACTTTTTAATATAAAAAAAATGCTTTTTTCCTGTTATTTTTCCCATCTTGCTTGTCTCCCTTTCAGGAGCTCTGTAAGAGAAACACTGAGTGGGTAACTGAAGGAAAAAAAGGAAAAAGAGAAGAAAATGAAAGAAATCCTGACTGCTCTCTGCGCTTTAGCCTAGCCGCGGCCTAGGGAGCCCCGGGAGGCTCGTGCGTCGCCCCGGGGCCGAGCTCGGCGCAGCCACCTCGGAAGCGACATCCCCTCTGCAACCACCTGGCTCCCCGGCAGCCGAGAGGAGCCGGCGGAGCGCGGTCTCCCGTCTCGCTTAAAAATAAATATTAATACGTAGAAGGCGCTAGGAGGGAAGCGCAATTTCCAAAGCGGGTTATTCAGCAGCCGCACAGGCCTACGCGTCACGCAGCCCGGAGAAAACCGCGAGCTACAAGCGGCGGCCCCGGCCCGGCGAGCGGCCCGCTCACCCCCGCCCGCGCGTGA